TATTGAGCCTTGTAATGGCTTTGTCCTGCTTTGTGTATTTGTTAGCTCGTGCCATGAGTTCAGCAAAAGTTAGAGGAGGGTCTATACTCAAACTCTCGAGTAGCTTGTTTTATTTGCAGTTCTTAGCCATGACACTAATGGCCACTTCATCATTCAAGTTCTCAACCTGCATTGCTATTCTTTGAAATTTGGAGACATACTATCTCAACGTCTCACCATCTTGTCTCTTTAGGTCTACTAGATCAGATGAGATTTTCTTGAATGGCACACTTGTGATGAACCGAGCTCGGAATGATGTAGCCAATTAGGAGAACAATGGGATGGATCCTATTTTGAGAGTCTGATACCACTCTTGGGCTACCCGCTTGAGTGTGATTGGGAAGATCCTGAACATAAGATCTTCAGAATTAGTTTGCAGGTACATCATGGTTCGGAAAGTCGCTAAGGGACTTCGAGAATCAGTGGATCCGTCATAGGGTTGGAAAGTCAAAATTTTGAACTTTATGGAGGAGGTATTACAGTATGTTCAACCACCTCACCATGGTTGTTGTCCTAACCCTCCATGTTATGGTGTTCGACCGATTCATTAGCCATGGTACTCAATGGTGAAAAAGATTGAGATTAACGGAGAGTGAAGGTGTTTTCCACGCTCACCCTACCACTTGTTAAGTTATCAGAAATTGAGTAAATGAAAGAATTCAGAATTAGCCTTTTTCTGAAATTAATTTGGGATATATATACTGGAAAAAGGATAATTGTATTAGGAAAAGGACTGTGGGAATCCTATATTATCTATTAGTTAGAGTTTATTTAGGAATCTAATATCCTTTTATATTATCTTTTTAAATATTTTATTATTATATATTATCAAGAAGAAATATTGGATTGAAGATTTTATGGATTTTGAAAGAAAAGAAGTATGATTACCTAGACTCTGGTTAAAACCGAGTCGAGTACCTCCAAAGAGGTGATTAGTTCGATATTTTTCCCTAAAGAGGGTGACGACTCCTAAAAATGCTCTTATCAATTAAGAGTCCTTTCTTTAAAATCCTTTTTCAAAATAATATCACCTCTCTGAAGGTGAAACGGGTTCAATAAAACCATTTTTGTAAATTAAAATAAATCTAAACTCGTTCCTACGTCCCGATGACGCATTCTCACTCAAGAAAAATTATTCCAATTCATAGGTTGTCTTATATCTAGATGATCTAGGTAGAATATCTGAAAATTATAATTTTGTCGTGTGTCATCTAAATAAAATTTCAATTTGAAATAATAAGGCAACTCAATACATGCAATACTTTGTAGAGTAACTCAAAAAACAATATGTAATCTCTTAAGTCACTTGCTTTTTCGGACTTCCTTAAGCCATCCTGGAAGAATTTGACAATTTGTACGAGCCAGTTTAAAATCTCTTGTTGTTTCTATATATCTGCAACAACATCCAGTAAATTAAGGCTAAACCTACTACACTAGGTTGGACAAAGGAAAACCCGAGTGTGTACAATAAAAAATGTTACTAGAATTGGTGCTTCCCTCTACTACTCCTTATTCTCTTGATCACCTTAGCCTTCACAATTACTTTACGTCCTTCATACTTGGCAGTTGTACGCTTTACTAGTCTCTCTCGATCCTACCTCTTTCGGCCCTTCCACGAGCACTTCCTCTAGCTGGGATTCCTACAATTCACCCAACATGATTCGATAAAATTCGTATGGAGATCTCTTTTGAAACTCCAAGTACAAATTCTCTGTGTTCAATTTCTCGCACAACCAATAATATAGCTTTGTATTTATAGTCATTTCTGGCAATTTTAGAAACTCTCCAAACCCTAACTCCATCACCCACTACTTTTGTAGGTCTCTCAACTCCATAACCAGTGGTCTAAGTGCAAGAGGCCTATTATGCATTAGGGCTCTAAATGACATAAATAAGCCTACTTTATCATACTATAGCATGTTTCACAAGCATATAAAATCGTCACATTGCAATTGCTCTTACCAGTTTCACATTTTTTTTAATGTGTGCATCATAACCTTTACTGAATCTTGTAGGGTGTTTAATCAGATTAGCTACAGATTCATTCGTATTGTCATCTTCATTATTAACCTTCTCCCACAAATAATAACAAATACACCTAAGATCAATTATTTGTTTTCAACAATTGCTCACTTTATCATATTACTAATCAAACATCATTCAATCAGTCACACACCAACTGTAATATTGGTTTCAACTAATAATATTTAACAATTCATATTACATTACTACATTAAAAGATTTAGTTTCAGAGGCTTCCAAAAAAATTTTGTTGTTCCTCTCTTTAATATTTTATGATTTAAAAGCGTTTTAATTAGTGCCCTGTATGGAATAGGAAAATAAGACTCAAAAATCTAAGTACATAAATTAATTTTTTTTTTTTTTACATATATCTACAAACCCATTTATTTTTAATATATAATATAAAAATAATTATTAGTTATTACTTTTGAATCTTTTCTCTTATCTATATTTACACATTTTTTTATAATTTTTATTTTTTAATATATCTTTAGTTTTCAAGATTTGTGTAATAATTTTCTAGATATATGTATATATACAATATTTTAAGTCTTAAACTAACTATACATTACACCAATCTATCCAAAAATTAGTATTTTATTATTTAATTTATATTTGCAAGCCATTATTCTTTTACTTTAATTAGAAAAGCTTATGAGAAAAAATATATATAATATATTTTTTAAAGGGTATTATTATATTATTGGAATAAAAAAACTAAACTACACTTATAAATTTAAAAGGCTTGAAAATTTAAATAGGTTTACCTTAAATCATTTTTATCTATAATACTTTCAATTATTTTTAATATAGTAAAAAGTGAAGTTATGAATGAAAATTTTTCGAAAAGTATAATATATAGCGAACTTGAGCAACCCGCGCAATGTGCAGGCCTTCATCTAGTATTTATAAAAGTGTAAATATATAGCAAATAGAACAATCCGCGCAAGTCAATATATTGATCATTTTGCAAGAATTTGGAAAAAAATATTTTAATTTTATTTTTTTGTATATTAGTAAGTACAATATTGGATATTTGGATTCTTGAAAATAATAAATAGAACAATCCGCGCAAAGTCAATATATTGATCATTTTTTGATCATTTTGCAAGAATTTGGAAAAAAATATTTTAATTTTATTTTTTTGTATATTAGTAAGTACAATATTGGATATTTGGATTCTTGAAAATAATTATTAATTATAATTAAAATAATTATTAATTATATAACTTTCGCATGCGAAGCGTGAGAAGACGACTAGTAAATATATAATTTCTAAAGTCTAATGCTTATACGGCAACATATGAAAAATATAAAAGTGATGATGTGACATTTTAGTTTTTCATTATAATTAATTTTTTTATTAAGTAAAGAAGTTATAAATTTATAAATCTAATGGGGATTTTATTATAATTAATATTTTTGCATTTAATAAATATTAAATTTTTTATTAAATAGTTTTTTCTGTAAAAATATTAAATTTTTTATTAAATAGTTTTTTCTGTAAAAAAACTAATAAAGTTGTAATAAAGTCATATTTAATAAAAATTAATTAAATAATATAGTTACGTTAACAAATAATTAAAATACTAATTTCAACTCATCAAAATTTATTCCATTAAAATTTATTTCATTAAAATTAAATATTTTTACACCTCATTTAATTTGAATATATGAGACTTTCAAAGAAAAAAATAAATAATTAACTAAATATATCAGTTGAATTACAATAATTTACTTACAATAATTAATTGTGTTAATTAATATTTTAGTTCATTACTTGAGAATTTCTAAAAGAGCATTTAATTTTACCTTTCATGATTTAATAAAAAATATAAGCAAATTATTTAAATTAAATCAACATAAATACGAATTACAATAATTTTTTTGAAAATAACATTCAATTTAATAAAGAAAAATAGAAAATTATACAATCTGCACATTGTGTGCAGGTACATGACTAGGTTTTATAATAAAGATGTTTGACTCAAGTTGAGTCTGACTCAACTAAAATTTTGATAGGTAGAATATCCGGTGCCCTTAATAATTTTTTATTGGTTAGATGAGAGATATTAAATTTGAATTTGAAATACACTCTCTTATCTACTTTAATGATGGAAATCTAAGACAATTTTAATTGATGTAGAGAGAGAAATTTTAAATTTAAAAAATTGACATTCTCTCTCCTAATTTAATAATGACTATCTAACATTAAAAAAAAAAAAAAAAAAAAAAGAGAATTATTTGATGGGAGCTATAATTATTAAGCAAGTAGTAGTTTTTTTTTTTTCATCTTCCTTGGTTATGGCCTGTGTTGACCAAAAATAAGTTTATTTGTTTTTTTTCTTCGTTGGTTATAACACATGTTGGCCAAAATATAGGGGCAAAATGAAAAAAAAAAAAAGGAGAAAAGATAAAAAACAATTAAAACAGTTATCCTCACATAATTAATATTCCTCGTATAAAAGGTTGTTGATATCTTATGATCGAGGATATAGATAACTGGAGTAGAATATTGTATTAATTATCAATTAGAAGATAAAATTTTTGTCGCATTCATATTAATTTTTTTTTAAATCAACTTCATCTCACATCTCTTTCATAAGCGGTAGTATATTAGATATTATTATTTCGAGACACAATAAAATTAAATAGGGATTAGTGGTACAGATGATATGTGAGTGTGTTATCTAGAGGAGAGACATGAGTTTAATCATTTTTATGTATGACATGCAAAGGAATCACATTTTTCAATAGAAATAATGATTGCAAATAAAATCATATTTATTTTAGTTATAAAGTGCAACTAGGTAAACGCGCAATCAAAAATAATTCTTATTGAATCATTCTCAATTTGAACCGTTTAGCTTGCTCCTATTTTTATTGTTAAATATTTTATATTTCAAATTATAAATATTGGTATGAGTTGGCGGCTAACCTTCGAGCCGTGGAACCCGAGCCGTGCATCACTGCTGCCCAATAATGCGCACCATCATCGTCCTCTATTCTGTGTGGTTCAAAATATGCCGTTATCCAACAGCGTATTTGGCGCCTCTGCTCCGTTGGCAACCCCATGGTTGGCAAAACCAAAGCTGAGAGTAAGAGATATTACCAATTGAATCGAACCGAACACAATCAATTCCTTTCTCACTTTATTTTTTTTGTTAAATATGTAGAATGATCGACACCATCTTCTTCATACTAAAAGAATCATTCCCCAACTTATAACTTACTCTGTTTCAAGAAATGGCAGTTCCTCTTCCTCTCTTGAACTCGATGTGCCATTTCCCAATGATTATCAGGAGCTTCTTCGACAAGTAAGTTTTCATTATATATTCTATTTATCTTTTATTACTCCTTTGTTGTAAATTAAGAGAATTAGAAATAATTACACGTTGATAAAAGAAAAGTGTTTATTACCTCTAACAGCCAAAGAAAGCAAAGCAATTTGGCTATGTAGACAACAAACAAGTTGAATGGTTAAGTATTTACCAAAATAATTATTGATTACTTAGTTGAATCCACGAATATAGATCCTGTTATACTAACCCTCCAAAATCTGTTGAATAACAGGAAGATTGAATTGCCCAACGCCTGGAATGAATGATCTGTGCCAGGTTCTATTTTATTTTCATTTTTTGAGTTTCTAATCAAATCAGAATGAAAATTGAACATGTAAATTCCTCTACAGGTGATGGGGAATGGGTAAGAAATGACTGAGAGTATTGCCAGTTCTGCAATTCGGGAACTTTGTGACCATTGTAAATTCCATGAGAAGAGTTACACGGAACTAGAGTAGTAAGATTACCCCATTTGGTTGTTATAAATAAAATTTGGTTTAGTTATATGTTGAATTCCATAAAAAATTTAGCTTTTGCGACACTAATTTTCAATTTTACCAAAACCATGAAGAACACGAAGTTACAAGAAATAAAAACTAATAAGACAAAAATTTTGTGGACTATTAGTGGTTTAATCCTTTTTCCATTTGCATCATCAATCATTTATGGTGCGGAAGTTCAACTGTTTTGAGAACCTATGGTAATGTAAACATGCAGGGAAAAAAATATGAGGGTAATTTTTGGTTTAACAATTGGGTTTGTTAATTTTTGTGGAAATTATTGGGTTTCTTGGTTACCAATCACTAGGGCTGAAAAGAGGTTGTTATGGATTTTACCATGCTTAACATACATGACAACATACTTCCTGGCAAATTGTACAGCAAGTTCCAAAAGGCCCTTATTGTAGTGGATATTGGATAATTTGAGAAACAAGATAACGATTATGTAGAGACTGCTTTCCGAAACATGTTTTGTAGAAGAATTTTGAAGCTTACTAAGTATGGACTGTTTTAGCCCTAAACTTGATGAAGCCTGTCTACAAATTATGCCTTAGAGGGTAGTCTACAGTATATAGCCCTAAAAAGGTGGGGTTTGTTCCAATACTAATTGTTTCAAACTGATATTGAAATGAGCTTTTCAAGAGTGATAACACTTGGGAAATTCATGTATGTGGGTTCCGTGATAGTTTAGGATTATGGTGGGTTAGCAGTGATCAAGTTAACAATATTTTCAATCAGTATTTCATAGTTTGTTCAAGACATTTACCCGAAGCTGTCAAAGAGACCTACAAGTCTAGCACTTTGGTTTATTATGAAAAATTTTAACCTGACTCCTGTCCATGTCACCATCTACTCAAAATTTATCATCTATCTTGGATGTTGCTGTGTTTTTCCCATTGTTATTAGTTAAACTCAGGCAAAATCTCTTACCTTACTTCACGTCCATGTCACCTACTCATAATTGTCACCTAGCCTGGGTGCTGCCTTAGCGTAAATTGTTAAGCTTAGGAAAATCTGGTCGATCTATCTTTTATTGTAATTTTGTTTTTTTTTCAATGATTTAAAATCTGTAAATCAATTTGTTCCAGTTTTTTCCTGAAGCAAACGAAGTTAAATTTGCAAGACAAACAGTTTTTGAAGGATCTTCCCTTAAGCTGGACTATTTGACAAAACCATCATTTTTTGAGGATTTTGGTTTTGTTGAGAAAGTCAGAATGAAAGATCGTGTGAAGCCAGAAGATGAGTTATTCCTGGTTGCCTACCCCTATTTTAATGTCAATGGTAGCTTCAAACTTGTTATCTTCAGAACTTGATCTCCACTTTATCTACATTTTTCCAATTCATCTGCATCTCAGAAATGCTTGTGGTGGAAGAGCTTTACAAAGAAGCTGTTGTGAACACAACACGGAAACTGATCATATTCAATGGAGAACTTGATCGTATAAGATCTGGCTGTATCCTTGTAATGCTAGTTTTTTTAATCTGCTAGATTTTAGATTCTAGTTTATCTTTTCAATGCACTTATAGCCAACCGTTTTGCTCTTTCATTAATCTCCATAATAGAAAGCCTTGTTTTAATCACAACTCTAGTCATAAATTTTATTTTACTTCATTTTATTTTCTATAAAAGAGATTTATATTGAGATGAGTCATGCGTCTTATGTTTCATGCAGTCTTAGTTTCTCCAACACCTAAAGTTGTCCTTGAAGGAAATAAGATATCCACCCTTCTTTATCCTAAGCGGCGTTCTCTTTTCCAAGACTCTATTCTTTTTCCCAATGAAAAACCCTGTCTAAATTAAAATTCACAACTTCAAGGGATCAATGGGGAACCGTTTTCAGGTTTTGCTGGTGTAATACAGATCTCTTGCTAGTGTAGTATGGCCTACAAAGTTATGGCTGTTTGCCTAAGCTGTAAGAGTCAATACAGGAATTAGTAGTCTATTTCCGTTTTGGGACTATCTAGGTCTTAGCTCAGGTCCTTATTAGGAAAGATCCGGGTAGTGGAAAGGGGGGTCGAGCAACAAGAATGCCTACATATTTTGTGCAGGCTAGCCTCACGGGGATTAGGTATAAATGGCAACATCTAACCTAAGAGAATTGAGCCCAATAATGCTTCACGTAATGCCAAATTGAGATTACTATACCCCATCAATCTCTTGGAGATTGAGAATTCTAGTGATTATCTTGTCGTTATAAATATACTCGATACAATATATTGAACAATCCTTATGGAGTCCGTGTTTTTAGTATTTTAGAAAAAATTGGATCTCACAAGAAAATATGATATTGATTGACAATGATGAACCCTATTAATATATTTCCGAAACACAAAGAATAATTTCTTTAGCTCCTCCAAAATTGATAAATGTATCCAAAATAGAGAACAGTAATGCGTCTATAGAGAATATTGCATAAACAATACCATTAATTCTTATTAGAAGGGCGGGTCCTGTAGGGCCGTATCATGAGTGGGTTTGTTAATAGTTGAAGAAACGTTGATACAGTTCAAGAAAAATTAGAAAGAAGATATTGAGATGAAGTTGGAAAAAACAATTGTAAAATAAATCAACTGGAAGCTTGTCCTCTGTGGATTCCAAGGATAAGAAAGTCAGAAATTAATAAGAAGGATAAGATAATGGGTTGAGGCCCTCATGGCACCACTGCCTCAGCTCTGGATACCACGTTTGGCCTTTTCAAATCAAGTTAAGAGAAAATTGACACACGAAAATATAGAAATGGGACACGATAGAAATTTACATGGTCACCCCAACTGTTTAGGGCTACGTAACACGGACAAACTCCAAAATAAATTCTTCCATTATTAAAATAGTGAGGTACAATTAAAATAGTAGGTACACAGAGAGTAATATAAAAATAGTGACACTCAAAGTGTTTTCCAAAAACACTCTATAATAATTTCCTCACTATTTTTTCCCTCCCTAGTTTTAGGAAACCCTTCCTAAAGATAACTCTCTCTACATTTTTTTTTCTTCTTTCTACCGTGTTTAGATATAAATCCTCTCCTCTATTTATAGGACAAGAAGATGCGAGAATGAGCTGTACAATACAAATTGCACATGTGGAAAGTAAAATCGCCGCCTACCTTCATTATTTTCTTCCTTCCTTTGTTGAACTTGTTGCTTCTTTATTTCAAAGTGTGTGGGTCCCACTTGAGTGGGCACCGGCATAACAAATGGCTGAATCAGCCCCCAAGCCTTTGCCCATGCCGATTGCTCTGCCCAAAATAACTGAATTGTACCAGGATGCCTTTCTCTCTCATCTTCATTCTTTAAATAAGTTGTTCATGAGGAATCTGCTTACATGCCTCTATTTCTTGGTCCCCAATTCTGTATTTGGAATTCCCTTTGATGCCCTTAGCAGGTTTTCCCCTTCTAGAATATACCAGGAATGGTTTAGGATCAGGAGCCTTTCTATCATTACATGCTGCTCGACAAACAGCCCTGTCCTCAAGGCGGAAGTGGGGGAACTGAACTGAGAAATCAGACTCATCCACCCAAGTTGCCTCTTCTTCACTTTACCCTTGCCATTGTATCAGCACTTGAGTTTTCTGTAAATCACCATCTTGCACAAATCTTCTTTGACATATTTCCAACATAGGTCCTTCTTGCACCTCCAACCCTTCGGGTAAACTCTCAACAACAGAATGATCACCAACAACTCTCTTCAGTTGAGAAACATGGAACACGAGGTGAATCTTGGATGTTGAAGGGAGTTTCAACTTGTATGCAACTGCTCCCATTTTTTCAATGACTTCGAAGGGTCCAAAGTAGCATGCAGATAATTTAGCATTGACTCGCATAGCCACGGATTGCTGATGGTGGGGACGTAGCTTTAAAAACACCTTACCACCAACAAAACATTGGAGATCCCTACGATGCTTATTGGCATATTTAATTATAAGCTGCTGGGCTTGATGCCAGTTGTAACGCAGCAGCCTTTGTATTTCATCCCGACTTTGTAGGTGCTAGGGAAGGGCTTCAACTCTTGTTTCGCCTAGCAGGTAGTGTTGGATATCGGGGAAGGTCTTTCATAAATAGCCTCGAAATGTGTTCTCTTTATAACACCTTGGAAATTTGTGTAATACCAGAGTTCAGCCTAGTAGAGCCACTTCGACCAAGTTTTAGGCTGCTTAGAGGAGAAACATCAAAAGTATGATTCTAGACTACGGTTGAGTACTTTAGTCTGGCCATCACTTTGTGGATGATAAGAAGAAGTGAAGGATAGCTGGATACCTTGTAAATGGAACAACTTGATAGCCTCGCAAAGTTGTAAATGGAACAACTTGATAGCCTCGCAAAGCGGGCAAATTTTGTTATGTTATTTTCATATAATTTGCATGAATGCATGAAGTTTTTATGTATTTTACGTTTGTTCGCATTGTTTTTGTTTCAAAGTGATTATAGGAACACAATTGGAACAAAGGAATAAAAAGGCTTGCTTTATATAGAAAAAAGACCAAGAAGTTGATTAAAAATAGAAGAAGTTCCTAAACCAGCCTTCGCGTCGCGAAGGAGGTCACAACAAGAAGAAAGCCCAATCGCGAGCGCTACCTGAGGCCGCGCGCGCAACTTACATACCAGAAGACTCAGCAGGCACCAAAAACGCAAGTCACAAGCGCGACAACCATATGCGTGAGCACGAGAAGCACTCCAGCAAGTCAGAGAGTTTACAAACAAAAGTCGCAAGCGTGAGAAGCACCCTTGAGAGACAAAGACCTTTAAAGCAAAAGTCGCGAGCGCGACCTTGAACCTCGCGAGCGCGAGTCGTGTTTCCAGGAGACGTAATTGCTGCCTTTTCATTCCAGGAGACGTAATGCTGCCTTTCATCAGAAGAAACCATGGTCTTCCATGCATGGGTCGGGAGCTCTTTCCCAAAAGAAGTTCCAACCTGAAGCACCTTTGGCCCAAACAGATCCACCATCCATAACCAACACATCTCCTCTCTATAAATAGCAAATCAAGTGAAGGAAGAAGACAGTACCAGATAATAGAATGCAGATTAAGACCTGAAGATATCAGATTAGATTGTTGAAAAACTAAGAGAAGTGTGAAGTAGTACTTTAGAAGGAAGTTGACGTAAAGTCACTTTGTTATTAATTGTGCAAAACAACAACGGAAGTTCCTCGAGGTGTGACGCCCTCCGGAGGCTTGATTTGATTACTTTTTCCTTGTTTTATAAACTTATGTATGTGTTCTTCACACCTCTTTAATCACAAACAATTCAAGTGGGTATCCATAATAAGTTCCTAGTTATGCTTTTTAATCTTTGTTTAACAGGTTTACAAATTAATTTCCCAAGAAGGAATAGTTTAGTGAAGAGTCAAAGAGATTTAAATTCACTTAGTTAGATTTTTATATGCATATTCAGCTTATTTTGTCAAAGTGAAATATGTCGTATTGAAATAATCAAAGGAATAAGTAAACTTTAAAGGTTAATATAACAGAATAAGGTATGTATTATAGAGTAGAAATACAGTATATTAGGATAGAAATATTTTTCTATACGAAGAGGTTGGAATTAATACACAAAGTAATTAAAGAAGAATAATTTGTAAGTTCCAAGGCTTTGGGCATAGAAGAGAAAACCGCTCTGTGATGATTTAATTGTAAGTAGAATCTAACTACACACTTACTATAGAATTAATAATAATTCGTTTTAGTAAAACAGAAATGTTAATCAAAAGATTTTTCATATTCATATTCATATTTCTGTTAAGACATAACCATTAAGAAACAGTAGTAAAGGGAGTGGACTTAACCCGTTCCTCGTGGGATCAATCTTTTTATTACTACGTTGCGATCCGTATACTTGCGGGAACTCAAAAGAGACGCAACAAGTTTTTGGCTCCGTTGCCGGGGAACGGTGTTCTGTTATTTAACGAAATATTCTTATATGTGATTTACAGCTTATTTTATTAAAGATACCTACTTATTAATTTTTTTTGATTTTGCAGGAGCACATAATTTACATACCTCATATGCCAAGTACCAGATCTTCGAATAGTGAATTAAAAGATTATCAGCCTAAGATTGAACAGTTTCTTTCACAACAGAAGAAGAAAAAGAAAAGACGAAATTCAAGAGTTATGGCTAAGGGAAATCCACCACAGAGTTTGATGGACTATGTCACTCCAAGTTTAAATGGTTCACAAAAAGGAGTAGTACGTCCACCCGTAAATGCTAACCAGTTTGAGATTAAACCTACTTTATTACAAATGATCCAAAATAGTGTTCAATTTTACGGATTACCGAATGAGGATCTTAACTCGCACATAGCCAGTTTTCTTGAGATCTGTGATACATTTAAGATGAATTCAGTACCAGCAGATGCTATTAAGTTACGTCTATTTCCTTTCACATTGAAATATTTCCTTTCACATGAAAAGATATTAGGAAAAGCCCTTGGTTTGAATCATTACTACCATTTATCACTACCTGGGAACAACTAGCCCAAGCTTTCCTGTCTAAATACTTCCCACTAGTAAAAACCGCTAGGCTTATCAAAGAAATAACCTCATTTACCCAACATGAAAATGAATCCCTATATGAGGCATGTGATCGCTATAAAGAACTCCAACGAGTTTACCCACACCATGGCCTTCCCCAAAATATATTGATTCAAACCTTCTACAATGGGAT